CGCGGCACCCACACTCGGGAGATGAGGTCATTCACCACTGGAGATGTAAGATCTCCTTTAGAGAGACGCATCCCCCACACCCACACTCGCATCTCTCGCGCGAGATGCGGCATCTCCTGCAGGAGATGTGGTGGCATCTCCAAAATCTTGGATATGTGACACTGCTGCCACTATTTAGAATAAAATGATTGACATCGAAATTTGTAAGCATAAAGAGCAATACAATTAAAACAAACAAATATCATTCCAATTGTGACATACAAGGGAAGAATACACATGATACTCTTCATTTTCATCTTTTTCATAATCATTTAACTTGTTACAATTGATTGGGCTGAACATAAAGACTAATTACATGTAGAAAAAAAATCAAATAGTAGCATACTGCAACAAATTTCAAATAAATCTACAATTGTCTTACTTCGAACGTTTGACGAGCAATGCCCGACACCATTAGGAAATGTTTAATCTCAAATGCTCTATGGAATAGTTTCAATTTATTTGTGTGAATAAAAATATGTAAACGAAATATAGACCATCAACTCTCATTACATATAAATTTGATGTGATCAACAGCTATGTACAATGGCCATGGTTTATAAGAAAATAGATTATATCGACAATAGATACAAAACAAAACAAAAAATATTTTATCGGACAATTCAAAGATATGATTTTAAAATTTTGCTCTCTATAACATCAGTGATTTCATTCATTGGTATAGAAAATTTAATTGTCAAAAATCTAGATTCATGATAGTTGTTTTTCTTTTTGAAATTAAAATCATACATCACTACGACTATCTTAATTAAGAATCATTTTTTTTAATTTTGGGATGTAAATAAAAACTTCGAATAAGTTATGGAATATAGATTATAGTTGAGCAACAATCATCTTATCATTAAAGAATAACTATGCAAAATAATGAACATTTTATTTCCATTAATAAACATTAAACAGATCAAGATTAAATGTAAAGTAAACACTATAATGTCATTATAGAATTTTTAGTTCATTATTCGCCAAATTATAAAGTTACTCGTAAGATTTCATTTTATTATATTTTAGGTTTATGAAGGAAATCTGAAATTTCCGAGTCATGAAATTTTTAGTTTTAAAGATTTGATAGAGAAATCAATGAGTTAATATCCATGTAAAAAAAAAAATATTCGACGAAAAATAAGATTATCATCATATACATTTCTATTTCATTATTAACTTATTCTAATCGATTAAAGATCTCGATGTAGACGATGGTCGGTAGAAGTATCTTGTCTTCACTCATATACCTACACCCTATTCAAAGTTTTCTGCAATAAGACTATGTGAAATACTGTCATCGACAACTCCACTAACGTGTTTACAAAAACTAACATATACAATCCTGCTTTGGGTGCTCCAAATACTGAATTCCATTTGATTTCCTTTGAATTTCATGAGTTTCCAATTTCTGAACGGTGAGTATATCTCACATATTGACATGATAATGACTTCTATTGAATGCTGAATTCTAATTTTTACAAGATATTGTTTACATTGATTAGTAATGTTGATACTATTATTTATTTATTCTTGGTGCTTAAATCATATTCGAATGATGGAAAATTTTAATTATTACCCATGAAAATATGTTAAAAACTTATATGATAGTTAAGTTGCTATCCATAGAATCATGAAGAGAATGCCGTGAGCAGTTGATAAATCCGTATAATTGATCATCACTATTTATTATTATTCAGACGTCTTTCGTCAGCTCATTCGCATGTCTGACAGAGCGCAAAGCGCTTCTTTCATTATATAAAAAAAATTGAAGATTAATGTCAAGAACGAGGAATAAAACATTGGAACGCAGTCAAATTTTACAATAAACTTGATTGTTTCTAGACAATCTTTGACGATTATATGCTAAATAGCCGTTCATACATTCAGAATGATTTTGAAACTTGTGATGTAGTCTATATCTTTAGTTAGATTGTTGTTTTCTTCTTCATTTTCTCTATTAACATGAGTCATCATTTCTATGCATATATAGACAGATATATATGTTCGTCGTTCTCTTCTTTGTCGTCAGTTACTCTTGTTCGTTTCGTTTCATCTAACTTGTTTTGTCTCTGTTGTTCAAGTCAATAAAACGTCATTATTGACCTTGACCTCTATTGTATTACGCACGCAATTGATAATACAATACATTTTGCGGCATTTATGTATTAACGACAATACGTGACAAAACTATACATATGTATTAGCACAAATCTAAAATTCTTCTTAATTAAATTCTTAATATTAAACTGTTAACTTTACAAAATTTTTCTTTACTCAATCTATGAAAAAATCAAAAGTTTCGAATGATAGTATGCGCATTAAAAATTTTTACGAAGTTAACTGTCCGAGCATATTTCATAGTATTTATCGATTATTGGATCATCATCAGATTTTTCAAACAATAAAAGATTACGAATAAATCTGTAACTATCCATACATTGATAGTGTTCATATCTGATTCAGCGAGAAGATTCACAATGGAAAGAAGAAAAACCCGTTTCCACAATCATAGATAATATTTTGTTCTCTTCTGATGGTGTTTCATGTTGCAGATCGTATAGATATAGAAAGAAAAAGATTCATATTGATCTTGTTACACGTCTTCTCTATTATATTTAAAATCTGGTATCCCAAGAAGAAACCGCTTCCGTTTCAAAATAATATAATATTTTGGAAATTTACATGAATTCCAAATAAAATCGAAAATTTGTTTATTAAATGCAAGAAGCGAACATTTAAATTCCCATCATGCTTTTTTCCTAAACTACGAGTAACAGGATCAATTTATTATTGAAATAATCTTTCAAATTTTGCTTCGACTGTACACTTTTTAATAGTCAACAATTCAACTATTTGAATGTTAAATAAAGCGAAAGAAAGTATCACTTAACATTTTTCTCTATATGTTTCAAAAAAAGATACATATGAGTTTAATCTATTGATCAAACCTAAACTAGGCATGAACGAGATCAACTCTCGTTCAGTTTCGTGTTGAGCGAAAAGACCTTCCTATTAGAAAACTGAACATGGTTCTCTATGGATATCGATATGTTCGAAAAGTAGACATGCGGAGAAGTATAGAGTATAGATAAATAAATATATTGTAAAGACCACCAAAGAACTATGTTCTACTCTTGTATGATAGGATAAAGTTAATTCAAGAAAAGCGGATTATTAAAATAAAAGAACTATATATAAGGTAGAACAAAATAGGACACATTAGGATTTATTCTGATTGTAGACCTGGCCGTTTTAAGCTCAAATCTAAGGTAGTATTCGATATATATAATAAGTCTGATCGAGTTCTTTTTATTCCCATCCATCTCATTCTATATTCGGAGTCGAATTATCTCTATGCTAAGTGTCAGTTCTAGTGACTAAAAAGACGATAAATTCCAAAGAGTATTCTATTTGTCAATAGCTTAATATCAAATATTCATACGGTGAAATAATTTACGAAAAGCGTCTCTTCAATACTTTTTTTTCTTTGAAAATTCTTGTTGGGATATTCCCAGTGATAGTGCCAATAAAGGTGCGACACACATTGGTTGCGCCACCAGTCATATCCCCTTACCAAATAAACGAAATAACTTTTCAAAAAATTTCTTTTTTCTCGAAATATTTTTCAAGTAAAATAATATTCTATACTTTTACTAGTTGTTTATTTTCAATGAATCAAAATAAAATACAAGCCATTTAATATCTATTCTCTTGCCTCGTGACACCTCCAAATTTAATTTCATTGAATGATTCAATACCAATAAAAATCGCGATGACGGTAATCAGCTGTAATAATAATCACTCATTCATGGACGAAGCACAAATAAAAAGAGTTGTTTTTTTTTTGTATTCTAACCTTTTATTGAGACAGCAATAATGTCACAAAGTTGGGCTGAAGTATTACGTGTTGCTGATAAAAATAGCCAATATGCAGCTCAAGAAGTAAGAAAAAAAAAATTTATTTTATTAAAATCGATGAATTAAAACTAAATATTTTCATTGAATAGCTTAAAGAAGAACGTCAAAGACGTGAAAAATTAAATAAAAAACCTGATAAACCTCGACCAGCTAATGAAGCAGCAATGAAAATGATTCTCGAACGACGACGTCAAGCACAAGAACAAGAAAAACTAGCTGGTTAGATTTTATTTAAAAAAAAAAAATAACAAAAACAAAACCAACATGTTTTTTTTTTTTTTCATTCACTTTCAGAAGAACAACGTTTAAAAAAAGCCAATGAAATAAAAAAACAACAAAAGGCAATTCTCCAAGCCAAAACACAGCAACAACAACAAAAACCTACACCACCAAAACCACCCACGAGTAGTGCTCCAACTAAAACATCAGTCGATGTAAAAAAGAAGGCACCGAATGTTTCTTATGAAGATCTTATGCGATATGCATCACTCAAAGCTAATAAACAACCAATACCTAAAGAATTAGCTCATGTTGCTAAATCACTTCAAGCAAATAAATCACAAACACCAACATCTAATTCAACTATTTCATCTTCATCAAAAAATATTGTTTCTACCTCTAAACCATTACAAACTGCAACTAATCTTAAAAAACCTACTTCTTCAAAAATAACAACAAAAATGACAAAGACAAATTCAACAATTAAACCATCTATTCAATCAAAACCTAATATAAATCAACCAAAGTCCAATAGATCTGCTTCATCATCGAACAATATAAAATCATCGATTAGACCTACATCATCTTCATCCACGTCAACAAATCGAACAGCAAATGGACAAAAACCGACACAAAATCGAACAGTGAACGAACAGAAAAATACACAAAATCCAACATTCAAAGTACAAAGACTGCCAACAAATGGCCAACAACCAACACCATCAAATCAAACAATAAATGGTCAAAGATCGACATTATCAAATCAAATAACAAATGGTCAAAGATCGACATTACCAAATCAAATGATAAATAGCCAAAGATCGAGACTACCGAATCAAATAGTAAACGGACAAAGATCGGTACCACCAAATCAAATAGTAAATGGACAAAGATCGGTACCACCAAATCGAATAATGAATGGACAAAGACCGATGCCAACAAATCGAATGATGAATGGACAAAGACGACCAATTGTACCATGTAAGTTAATAGTCAGACGATTACTAGTCTTGAAAATTTCATTCCTTTCACATACTTTCCAACAGTAAGATAAATTCTATTCAAACTTAGTATCTATCCGTCGTACTTCTTATCTATCATATCAATTCTGCTGTTTGTAACTTCAATTTCTATTCGAAAATTTTTTAATATAAAAACGACAAGATTAATTTTAATTGCTGTATTTCTCTTCTATAATAACGAATAGTTTTCATATTTTTATTTATTATAAAATTTAAGAAAAAAAAATTCTTATTTTTGTTTTGCATTGATTAATAAGCAGTTTGTTTGTTTTTTCTTTAGCTCGAAAACGCCCTATTCTCGACACAGATGATGAAGAAGAGGATGAAGGTAAGATTTTTTTCTATATGCATCTGGAGCAATTGTAAACACTGTTCTGCTTGATTTTTTGCATTTTATGAAATCATGTATAAGTCAGAAATGAAATGTCGTTTACTATTGAGATTATGAATAATGATATTTGACAGAAAAACTAATATTTATGTAAATTAGCTTTCAAATGCATACAAACCTTTGTAATCAACAATATTCTATTGAATCCGTGACCCGAAACGACGATATTACATCGAAGATTGAGTTTGTTATTCAGATATTTGAAGAAAATATTTTGTGTTTTTTTTATTAGGATAAATAAAATCTAATCCATTTTAGTACTGAAATTGATGAAGAAAAAGCTTGAAGCAGATATTTCCCAATTCGTAAAAGATCGAATTTTTAAAAAGATTTTTCTTGCTTTACTGACTCTCTAATATGAATATCATCGTGAGTAGGCAAAAATGCTCAACACGGAAAAGTTTTTAGTTACTGTTTTACACCTTATAAGCATTCCGTTGCAATCACTTGTCGATTGCACAAGAGTACTTTTTTCCGACTATTAATTAATTCAATTTAGTTAGTTAAATATAAGTAAACATGTGTGCAACGTTATTTGATGTTATCAGCTTTTAACGTAAAAACGACGGCGTACTACACCAAGCATTGCTGCTATTTTCTAAGATTGTGTTTTTTTTTCTTTTGAATATGCATTATTAGTCTATTCTCTTTTCAAATGTGTCCTATACTATTTTATCGTAAAATCATTTTTTTTTCTCGTTCTGTACGTTATTTATAGAACGTATTGTTAGTCACGAGAAAAAGCACTTTTGATGGACAATTTCTTTTTCACCTTCAGAGAACAAATCAATTAGTGAATGAGGTTCTCAATAGAGTTTTCTAATCAGAATATGAGAGTCGTTCTGAAGATACAAGGTTTTTTGTTTTTTTTTATTCGGTCACTAGTGCACCTTATACATGTCTCACAAGACTAAAGCAGATCGAGTTTCGGGACTAACCCGACAGATTCTAGTTGTAGACCTGAAGCAACATTTATACTCTATTGAGAAATAATAATGTAAAATGTATGCTGAAAAAAATTTCGTGATGATAAATATTATCATGATTGTCCATATTACAAAGGTTATTATTATTCACGGAACGAGGAATAAACGTCCATTGTCCAAACTAAAGAGATGGTCATATTTGAGAGATTTATTCTTAGAAAAAAATTTTCATTGCATAAATTAGATAATATCATTTTCCATTCATAGGAAAAATTTGACTATAAGTTTAACCCTTTGAGGCCCAGTGGGATATATATTTCCCACCTTGAGAATTTTGAAATCTTCGAGTTTTCGAGAATTTTGGAGAAATATTTTCAATATATGTTAGAAGCTAGCAGAGATTCGTACAAGATTGATTGGATAATAGAGTGTATAGATGACATTGAAAAACGCACCTTGTGAAGTTTTGATCCCATGGGGGGGA